GTACCCAAACTTGCGTAAAATATCCTTTGCATACTGTTCTTGACACATCGTGATCCTTGAATCTATTTGTCGCACTGCAATACCATGATGTTGTGTCAGTAATCCTTGATCTTTGATTCCATAAGCGTCATTGAGTTCATTTGGTAGGTTCTTTTTGTAGTACGCATTGGTAGTCGCGATCGAAACATCATCAACGTAGACCAGGACATATACGGTCGTGTCTCCATGAAAATAATAACACATAATTGGCTCGACCCGCGACCGGTGATAGTCATGGTCCTGGAAGGACTTGTTAAGCTCTAAATTCCACTCATGTCCTGACTGACGAAGGCCGTATAAGGCCTTCTGAACGATGTGTACGTTTCCATTCACCTTGCACGGATATCCACTTATTGGTCGTAAGTATCGCTTAATAATGAGTGAGGAATTAGGGTAAGCTGCGCTGATACAACCGCCATCGATATCACGTCCAAGTTTGACTTCTAGAGCAATTAGTAACCGAAGCGAAGACATCCTTGCAACTGGAGCAAATGTATCTTGAAAATCGATCTCTGGTCGCTGGTGGTTCTCCAGGGTCACAATCATTGCTTTGAGCCTGATCCCATCGCTTTGTTGAACACTATTGACAGCATTTACTACATGGTGTTTATCATGAGCGCATCCTTTGGAATCACAGTACCCTCAATTGGTGCAATTAAACCTTTTGATTTCAGCTCAGTCATTTACCCTAACGCTGCTGCTAGGAATTAATGTTGTCATTTTGATTGCAACATTTTAAGCCGACGTCTAGGAAGCCTAATATTACTCGCACGAATGGGTTTGCCACTTTGATACCATACCTGCAACGACGTCAGGGTCATTTTCATTACGTAATTATCGAGATATCCTGGCAGCTTCCGGTCACGCGCTGTGTGAAGTCCATTCTGTGTCCCCTTGATATCTATTTTGTGTGCGTCTTGCTCGAGACGTTCTGCTTCCGATGGTGTCTCAGAGCGACAAATGCGTTTTCCTGTGATTACATCAGCTTGCTCGTTCCGCGTCTTTTCATCGCAAAACGTCGATTCTTCTCCATGATCAGGTATCGTATCAGGACCCACAACGCTAAGAAGAGTAGCGTTGTTGCATTCTGGATATCAGTCATCGTCTGTGCATACTTCAGAAGCTTCTTCGAAAAATAAGTTCAACTGTTTATCCAGTTCCGTCTTATCTGCGTCATACTCGGCTACAGTCGACCATGTTTACTAACTATGGACTGCTCGTCATCCTCGAATCCATCATTCTTTCTGAGCCGATAATTTTCATCAGGATCAGATATTTCATCCTTCCCGAAATGGTCAGTTTCATAGTCAATAGCAGTAGTGGGCTATGCGACATCCTCGGTACCTTCAGTCGCTTCATATTTGATTAGCGCGCTCATCATATCAGCGTCAGTGATTGTGCATTGTTCTTCATCGTCTTAATCAAAGTGAAGCGAAGAAATATCATTCTATTCCACATCTACAACATGTCGATCGCGGTAGACAATATTCTTGGTAATACGTAGATCCGAGACAAATTTGGCAGTTTGGTCATCAGGAAAATATGCCTTGCACCCTATCTCATCTTCTGCGTATCCAAGTACAAAACCATTGTTTGCATTCACATCACTTTTATTGCGTCCTGGTGATGCTGGTATGTGTGCGTACGCAAGAGCCCTGAATGTTGATATTGTGTATATCAGGCTTAGCTCCAAACATCGTCTCGTACGGAATTCATTGCGTGCTTCTGTTCTGAACTCAGTTTTTACGTACACTTCATTACGCATAGCTTCAAGCCATTGAATTTGGGGGAAACCTGCAAGAGGCATAGTCGATTTCGTCATGCCTTCGATCGACTGACGTCTTCTCTCGCGCAGGTTCAGCTGCGAGCTGTTTGGCCCAACTCCAATGTGCTCAATCCCTTTCGAGCAACATTAATCCTCGATCACAGCATTGCAAAACTCGCTACCTTTGTTGCGGAGTAGTTTCTTCACACTACGAACGATTTTTGATGTGTCGATGGGATTGCCGTCCTGATCATAGAACATATAATGATTATTTACAATCGTGCTTTCCTTGCTTGTAAGTCACTTTATAGTTTTAAAAATAATGGAGTAATTATCCATAATCACCTGTACTGCCACCTTTTTTGTCTCATTTTATTGTCCAGGTGTCAGCAAATACACATACACCACTTACGTGGGCTTGTTTGTCGCGCAATCAGGCTTCTTTCAATGCATTTTGCTTTTCTTTCCTAAATGACACACGTCGCACGTGCTGTGCTGTCGTTTGTAAGCATCATGCCTCGTACCAGTCCTTAATCTACCATGGTTTTCGGATACTGTGGACAGGTATGAAATATTATCGCATGCCAAAGTTGTAATGATCTTACTTTTTTGGACATCGTGTAGTTGCGCAGCGCTTTACCCTGTCGCAAGAGACCATATCGCTGGAAAGGAAATATCACTTGGAACCTCCATATATAGCATTCAGAAGTTTTGCCACAGCCATCAATTGGTCTTCCAATAAGATCGAAAGAAATTGCGTTATGTGATTAACTTTGAATGTAAAACATTGGCGCAATGCGAGGCGTGGAGAGAATAAACCATATTCTGCTCCCGGTATATACAATACGTTATCCAAAAAGAATGTTAACGGGTTCCCTTCCACTTCGGTGACCGGTCCTACGGCCCCCGTACTGGTAATACGAGATACAATGTTCGGCGCCACGCCACATATGCTCTGCATATTTGTATCCACCTCTGAGAACGTCAAAAAGCGCTCTATTCCCGGTAACGTGTGAATTTGACGCAGTATCACAATGCCACATTGTTTACTCTCAACCACAACATCATTGTGGTCAACGTCTAGTAAATCTTCTGCATTGTCATTCACTTCATCAACATCATCACCATGAGGGTCATGCAGTGTTGAAGATATGATGATTGACACTTCAGAGTTTTTTTCATTAGCTAGACCTTTATTATCTGGGCTTGCTTGAATAGATGTATCGACATCACGATCTGCGTCATTTCTCTGCCAAATTGTGAAGTTTCATCGCACCTTTTGCTTCTGGTCCGACGAACTTGTTCTATCTGGCTTCTGTGTCTTCTGGGAACGGCTAGCTTTGAGATTTTGGTCAATTACGCATACGCAACACGTGCAAATTATACTTGATTCACAACCACTATTCTGGTGTTTGTTACCTCGGTTAAATGCCTGCATCCTCACGGGTACGTACAAGCAAGGGACTGACGTTTCGGCGTGCAGCTCCATCACCATCGATTCAATCAGCGTACCGGCTGGCGTGACGTTGGACCTCAGGAAGTTGGAGAGAGGCGCCGTCATTGAGTTCAAAGGCGTCACTACGTTCGGAACGAAAATGTGGGCTGGTCCGCTCGTTATGGCCAGCGGAACGGATCTCACCGTGAAGGGATCGGGCGTCCTTGACGGGCAAGGACCTTGGTACTGGAAATACGGTCCGTCCATCACGCGTCCTGTCTTCTTCCGTCTTCAGAATGTTATCACCTCGAAGGTGTCCGGGTTCACGATCAAGAACATGCTCTTCCGTACGTTCAGCGTTGTTGCGTGCAAGAACACGGTTCTCTCTGGCCTCACGATCGACTCGAGAGCGGGCGATGGCATCGCCAAGAACACGGACGGGTTCGACTTGTCCAAGAACGACGGGGTCACGATCACCGGCAACACGATCTACAATCAAGACGACTGTCTCGCCATGCAGTCGAGCACCAACACCGTCTTTAGAAAACTGCTACAATACGCACGGTATTTCCATCGGGTCTGTTGGCGGCAACGCTGTCGACGCTTCTACCACGGTGCGGGGTATGACCGTGGTGGGCGACAGGATCGTCAACAGTGTGAACGGTCTCCGTATCAAGACCATCGTTGATCTCAAGGGACTGATCGCTGACGTGAAGTTCATCAACAACACGGTTGAGAACCATGCGGAACGCCATCGTAATCCACTCGGACTACAGCAAGGAAAACGGTCGATACATGGGCATCCCTACGAGTCAGGTGCAGATCACTGGTATCACGGTCCCCGGTCTCACTGGTTCGTCAACCAACTTGTACGACATCCAGGCCAACCCGAACATGTTGTCGATTTGGACTTTTGTGGGCATTAAAGGTAAGGCATCGCAGAAGGACCTAGTATCCGGCCTGCCGAAAGGCTTGGCCATTTGAGCTTTCGTCGTTGTAGCTGCTCGTTGAGGGAACTGGCATCGTCAGGTACGCGTTGTGTCAGTAGGAACCACGATACAGTAAATGTAATCGTTTTGAATGGTGTGCGGCTCGTTCACGTCTGAGTTAAACTCGATCTTGTAACTCGTTGGCTTGCGTGCTCTCAATCGTTCGGTCGGCCAGACGTTGAGCTGGTGCGCAGATGTACTATATACGGCAGGGGTCGTGCTGGTACATACACGATCGTCATTAGAGTTCGACCGATTTCAACGTGGTACGCCTATGGATCAGTCATCTTCTTTTGTTGTGCAGTGAGAAGGGGGGCACACGCTAAACATTCGGATACAGCTGGTGAGCTCAACATATGTCCAGCCATCGGCCAATGTCATCAGCCACCAAACTGAACTAGTAGGTATCGTGCCTCATCGGGGTCTCTTCACTCACGCTGTAACTTATCTGGTCAAATAGACTGCTCTCTACCCAGACTGCAATATCTTGTGCCCCTCGGTATCTCCAGCCAACTACTGAAGACTACATAAAGTTAGTCAATAGAAACTTGGCGAAAGCGATGCTGCGACTGCTGAACACAACATGGATAGCATAAACAAAGGCACGTGCTGCGTAACAGATTTCGGTAGTGAGCGGTTTGGAATCGAGGAGTCGGTAACAAAAGGTCATATGCTCTACAGTTACCCACAATGAGTGATCTTGTCGAGACACAGGGAGACGGAAAGTATGTCTCGATACAGACGATACAGGCAAGTAAGATTGTCAACTACTTGCACAACCTTCTAGATGAGGCTCGCAGTATAGTGTGAGATCTCTTCATGACGCTCAATTGCATATACCGCACGAACAACGCTGCTGTTGCAGATAAAGTGTTGCACCCTTCCGCCTGGGCTCGCTGAGACAATACCAACCGAGCAGGCAAGTGGTGAGGCGGAAACACAGTAAGCGATCGGTATTCTTCTTCGTGCTGTTTCTCTCGTGACATATCGATCGAATAGCCCGAAGGGAGAACAATCTTCTCATCGACGTCAACATTCACGAGTGTATAAGCCATGGAAACCAAGGACGGCGCGAGTATCTTGGAGAGACTTGTGTAAAGCCTCTACGCTACTGTCACGGTGATCGTATATAATTTTCAACCCACTCTGTGTTGTCGAGCAGAGCAATTACCGCACATATAATACGATCTGAACGACCTCGTATAGAGAAGATGGATGCAAAAAAATCGTGACATTCCGTTTGCGGACCAGACGCGACGGAGCTCATTTGGTCGCGATGAGTGTAACGAATGAACGCTTTGCAAGACACTCTGATTGTCTCCATCGTCAACGTGAACGTCGTCATACCGAAAACGAAGACGACTATAGTACCTGAAGATATTATTTTGGTTCGGTAGGTCCAGCCGGTACATTTTGTTCTTCGAACGACCTGGAACAGTCCTCTTCGGGTCGGGCCTACACAATCCTTCCCGGTCGTGGTGCTCGTCCTACGCCGGGGTCGCTTCGACAGCTTGTCGACCACTACCATTGTAGCATCGAATCCTCTTGGCATCGGTAGGCCTGTTTCGAAATCCATCAGAACTACTTGCCAGCACTCTCCTGAAACTGGAATCTTCACAAGCATGCCATTAATATAGAGCGCTTGCCTTCCATCGCGTGTATGTACCCTAGCTTTGAACGTACTCTCTCACATCCTGTTTAAATTGATGCCAGTAGTACCATTGCGCCACCTTGCGTTGTGTGCGACGCACCCCGGGATGTGCTGCGGTGTTCACCTCTTTGTTCACGAAGCATGTAGGCAAAAATTCTATCATATGCCTGTACGCAGAGCCTCTTAACTGCGTGATTCGTACTTAGGTACAGCAATTCATTATCGAGTCGTACTTGTCGAGATTCGCGATCAACGCCTCTGTGAATTTTCGGTCCTTGTAGTAGTCTTTCATAAGTGCCTTCTTTGCAACCGACAAAAAAAAGATGCTTACAATTAATAACTCGATTTGCTGGACTTGATCTTAGATCTGTCGCCACTGCCGCTAAGGCATGCCACCTTAGTGCACTCTTTCCACCACTTCAAGGTACCGCACATCGAGGAGAAGGTTTCTGTCGGGGCGCGAGAACAAGCAGAGTACCGCCGTATGACAACCTTGACGTCGAGTTGGGCGTCGCGGTGAGCGCACAATGGACTGCAGTCATGATATGTTGGAACATGAATAAGGATTCTCTCAATGTACGGACTGACGAAGTTCGGACGCGACCATGCGTCTGCAACAACGTTGGAAGTATCCGCGACGTGATGTGGCGTGAGATGAACCTTAGAGAAAAAGTTCTGCGAACGGACCATTTTAGACGTGCCATTTAGATGGTGGAGCATCCTATGGCACGCATTGTTGTCTTGATAGACATCAAAATACCGACTATGTAGACAATAATGCCATTTTGAGAATGCTGTCTCGATCGCCAGTAATGCTTGTTCGTGCGCCGGCCACCCTTGTTCGTGAATTCCAAAAAAATATTAAACGAGATTGGATGGTCCTCATTATTTGTAATATGTGACATGTCGCCACCCATACACATTTCCGTCGCGTCCGTCGTAACTATGAAAGGAATGGTAAAGTCCTGTGGACGAAGCACGGGTGCTTGTTGAAGCACGCCTTTTCAGTGTTAAAAGCTACATCCCGATCGTTTGACCACGCCGAATACACATCCATCTTGACCATTCTGCTCCATAAAATTTTCATCGTGGAAAATTCATTAACAAATCGATGGTAGTGACCGGCAAGACCTTAGGTAGCTCATTAGTTCCTTTCTCGTAGTGAGAGGGGTCATTTTGCGAATTCCGACGTCTTTATCTTATCCATACTTAATCGATTTCTTGGAACTGTGTGGCCTAGAAAAAGCACTCTATCCTTGCCAAAGGAGCATTTGCCGCGGTGAGCATATCTTTTTTCATGGAAAAGAACTTGAAATACCTGGCATAGATGAATTGTGTGGTTGGAAGATGTCTTGGAGAAAATGCAGATGAAGTCAAGATATCCACACCAAATTAAACTCGTCGAACAGCTCGCGTATAAGGTGAAACCAAAACACCCATCATTCCCGCCAATCCGTCTGTGTAACACATCACTGGTTTTTCTCCTTGTGCATCCGAGATGCTGTGTACTGGCGACTTGAACTGTAAACGAGTAGCTGGTGGTAGCCTTATTGTGCCAAGTCAATTACCGTGAACCATGCGCACCCTGCTATCCTTTCAAATAGTCCTTCAATGAGATGGGGAGGAATCTTGGAAACCTTGGGCTGGCTGATTACGTAACGATCTTGCAGATGTGTCCTGTAGTGCTCATTGTACCAAGATGCTTGCTCCAGCTATTTATCGAATCGTAGACGCCGAGTGAAAGGAATGACACCGCGTGATACCGCTTGCCACAAAATCATAGTAGGCAGATGGCGTCGCGTCGCGTCACTTCCACGTGTTTCTTATCAAGCAAAAGGCGATTATTACCGCATCCACACCCACCCCAACAGAAGTACCTGGTCGACATTTCCATTCCCCAAGTACGCTTCCGGGGTGCGCTCGCTCTTCGAACCACGCGTGTTGGCTATTTCCACACACAAACACACACATAGGATGGACGACCCACCACTCTAAATTGAATAAACGCATTACACACAGTCAGTTCATTCCTACATGTACATCGCGCCAATCAGCTATGGAATTGGCTGTGTCGAGTAGAATGACGGCGGCGTGACGGGACGCGTTCAGAGCAACATTTACACTCGTTGTGCTGTTCAGCGCAAAGCTCACAATCATTGTGATACTCTGAGCACGTCTCGCCACAGCGAATCGGCTGCAGGCTGTTTCCCAAACGCAGCTACTCACCGCGGGTTAAAGCTTGTTTTAAGGTGGCCTTTATTTGTAGCGCGAAAACGGTTGGACACCCATGGCGATTTTGACACTTCGACCCAGCCTTTTTATAATTATGCGCAACGAAGGTATTCAGTACCTCTTGCTCGGTCTTTAATAAGTGGAACGGCGCTCTTGAGCTTGGAATCGTACCAGGTTACAATTCTACGTCAAATTGCATCGCACATGCCGGTGGTAGTCCGTCGGGTAGCCTCGCTAGAAAGATACCGACATACTCGTTTACCAGGTCACAGAGCAGATCCGGAACATTGTCGTCCACTATATTAGAAGCGATCATGACCACAAATAGCTCGGCGTATTCTTACCTGTGCATGAATAATCTGCGTGATTGACCGGATGATCTGGGGGTCGTGTCTTCTGAAGTCTTCACTACCCGCACTCGGAGCTCCTGCTCGCTGAGTTGAGGCAGGTTCGGAAGCGGAAATTAAGATGGCGCTCAGTCGATTTGCGAGGCATATTCTGGAAACCAGGTGATACCAAAAATCACATCCTGATCGGCATCCAGATGGGTCTCTGTGAAGGTCATGTTCAAGAACTTGCTTTCTTGGTGTGTTTATCGCTTTAGCCGTAGCTAGCTCAAGTGGCAACGTAAAAGACTCGGTAACCTCTTTAATTGACCTCGTTGCGATCGTAGATCCTTAGTAGCTGAACCGCGGCGATCAACATTTAATGATGATTCCAGTCCAGCAAGATCGTTACCAGTATGTCAATAATGATACTAGGTTTGCGCAATAAGTGAGACTTTTAATTGTACAATATACTAGCACCCGAACCTAAGGCACTTGAGCCGGGGTCATTTATCAAGTGATCGAAGAAGATGCGCCAATATCATGACTGACTACACAATAGTGCCGGTTCGTCATTAATCATTTCGATGCGGGCACGGACTACGGGGTGACACCGGTCTCGTGGATGTCGGCCTGTAATATTCCCGCGTCTACGGCCGATGAGACACCTTTCCAGATTGGCGGGCACCCGGCACTCACGCATGTTGTACACGTGTGGTATTATCGTCGACGATGGCTACCCATATAGGAAAACCCCTGCAAATTACATCCCAGCGGCGCCGTGCT